TATCAGCGGACGGTTGGGTCGGGAGCTGTACGGCCGGGCAGTCCATAAACATCGCGGTAAATATACCGCCGTTTGCGAACCACTCGACGGCAAACATTAACAGGACTAGTGTTAGGGGCCGGGGTTTGAACCATTTGATACCATACCCGCCCAACACTATACCGAACACCAGCGGGAATATGGACGTCACACCAGTGACCAGACTGGCCCGGGAGCTGGACAAATGAAATTGCGCCCGTACGTACTTGGTCTGGCTAATGGTATACCCGGCCAAACCCATGTACCGAAATACACCGCCAAACGTGTGAAACATAAACACCGCGTTTTTGACCAATCGCTTGAACACTGGCCACATGGCTGTCCGGTACCGGGAGGTCATAACCAGTATATTAGTTAAGTTTTATCACGTATTTTCTAACCCTTACCTTTAAATCCGTTGCCACGGCTTTTGCGATTCACTTTAACTGATGCCGATTTAAGTTGTGTGGGAAACAAACACATGGGTAAACTGACCAGGAATAGGGCCACCCCGATCATTAAAAAGCCAACCCACCATGCGCCTATAAATCTGGGATCACGGCGACCGATGCCCGGGTTATCTATTAATTAAACAAGGTGAATTGTAATTATTTAAATTTAACATGATAAAATTTACTCACAAAATGGATTTTCGTAATATCTCAAAGTGAACGCGGACAAAAATAAGCCCCCAAATGGGCCAATCAATCTGAACACACTAGCCAAGGACATGTAAACTGGTGAACTGTCCTTGGTCACACTATCGTCTAAAAATGGCACACCGATTACCCAATAGGTAGTGTAGCCAATGCCACGGAAAGCGCTTCCAATTATCAGGGTAATTACCGCCGGCCATATGGTTGAGTGTGAACCAGGCGTACATTCATCCAAATTATTCAGCGTACTATTGACCGAGGTACACATTTCGTACTGTTTGGTGCTATTTATAAGGCTCGTGGTTGAAAGTAGGTTATCATCGTGCAATAGGTGTGTGCCGGCGCCGTATATGAAGTACGGGGCGGCGTTTATAGCGCAGGACAGGGCCAGTATCAGCTCACCAATCATAATCATCATCGGCCGATTGTGTCTGTCGCCTAAGTAACCAACCAGCGAACTCACCTTAATTATATAAGGTCGTCCAATAAAAATTGCGCGCCGGAATTTGGCCAATACTCGGCAACCGCTGAAGTGATAGTATTGTAATTTCATGCATATATAGATCCATGTATGGGAAAATTTTATGCTATAAAAATTTTATCGGTCACGTGACTATGTTCTGAGAAAATGGTACCATTCCGAAATCACTAGTGCTGTGCCTACTGTGCTTATTATAGAAAGGGGTGGGGGAGGTGGTTGAGTAGTAGAGGTGTCATAGTGTTATATAAACTTGGAAGCATTAAGATTGGATTGTAGGGTTTTATATACTATGTGTACAAAGTTGATCAATTTTTGCATGTTAACCTATGGGAGTGAAAAATATAATTAGATTTAAATATAATTAATTGTATATTCAGATACTACATTCAATGCTGATAATGCTAGTAGAAAAAACTTTTGAAAAATTTCATTCCAAAGGCATAATATCTTAAATTGATATATTGAGTAAAACCCAAAAAAGCTCGATATTTTCAATATTTCAATATAAGATATTTTGTCTTTGGAACTAAATTTTTCAAAAGTTTTTTTACTAACATTATCAGCATTTAATGTAGTATCTAAAAATATAATTAATTATATTTAAATCTAATTATATTTTTCACTCCCATAGGTTAACATGCAAAAATTGATCAACTTTGTACACATAGTATATAAAACCCTACAATCCAATCTTAATGCTTCCAAGTTTATATAA